GATGTGGGGCGCAAGTCTTTCATCACCAGCTTTCCCGGCGCGGCTCGGTGTGGATCCGCCGCCGGCAGGCGGTGGGCTGCGGTGGTCACAGGGGAACGTGGCAGAGGGCACCGACGGGTCGTATTCCTCTGCGAACGGCTGATTCACTGCGGGCTACCGCGCCACCCCATGCCACCCCTGTCTCTTCAGCCGCCACGAGCCGCGTTGGGGCTGAGGGAGGAAAGCGTTGGACTGTTTTAGCCTAATTATTATTTTAACTAGGAAAATGCAGAGGCACAAAGCTCCATGGTTCATGGGACCAGGAGCTGGACGATTGTCATTTCAGAGCCAGGCTCCTGCCAGTGGCTGAGAATATGATGGACGAACATCTGCTGCCTTGGGAAGCATAAAGGTGAGGAGCCCCAGGGTTTGTGGGGCTGTGGAAGCACTTCCCAGGCAAGGTGAGGCCCAGCAATATCTTTCAGTCTTCACACTTTTTGTTGTTGGACCAGGAGCCAGAGTTTGCTATTTCGGAGCTTCTCTCCAGCCAGCATTTGAGAGGACTGGAGATGAACACGGGCTGCCTAGGAAAGCGCAGAGGTGCAAAACCCCAGGCTTTGTTCAGCTGTGGAAACACTTCCAGAGAAGGTGAGGCCCAGCAACAGCTCTCAGTCTTCATTCTTTGTGTGAGAGCAGGAGCCAAATGTTTGCCATTGAACTCCAGAAGAAAATTTCTTACCATGGGATCAATTAGATACTGGAATAATCTCCCAGGGGAAGTGGTGGATTCCCCTACATTGGTCAGTTTTAAGACTCAGCTTGATAGGGTGCTGACTTTATCTCATTTAAACTGTACTTTTACCTTGAAAGGTTGGACTAGATGATCCTTGTGGTCCCTTCCAACCTGGTATTCCGATTCTATGAAAGCTCACAGATTTTGCAGGTTATTTTGAATTGGCTTGTTGAGCTCTTAAGTATGGGTCAAGTGACCTGTTTTTTGTCTCTGTTCTATAAGAATTATTCCCACATCTGTATAGAAGTAGAAAAAGGGATAACAAATGACTACTCTTGGCTGGGGACCCTGTCTGTTAACCAAGAGGTCCCCTCCTGTTCGCACCACTGGTGTGGGTGTGTGTGCTGGTCACCTAGCAGCCAACAGCGTGCTGCTAGAGGTGCAAAAACAAGGGCACGAAAGTGTGGGTGTGTAAGAGATGGTGGCTGCCATGCCAAAAGCCCCAGCCCTCACTGAGGACGGAAGGTGGCGTGCTCTTGCTACAATTGGTAGTGATAACATTTTTAAACCTACAAAATGCCAATAATTTTCTTAGTCTTAGAATTGTCATTTTTCATCAGTGATGTTACTACAGCTATAGAAATAGTGAGATACAAGTAATTGTGGACTTCGACCAGCTTGTGACAGGTGTTGTGGAGTCTTCTCTTGTTCTGGTACAATTATTGTTTAAGCATCACTTGCTGATTAATCATCACTTGCTAATAAATTGACTTTTCAGAAGTGGTGTGGAGAGAGCACTCTTGTGCTATGGGTGAAAAGATAGAACTGCTGGGAAAAAAATCCAGCCAGAATTACAGGCTTTCTCTCAACTACTTAAAGATTGAGCTCCTGCAGTTTACAGTTGTTCAGATAACTTTGCTGGAGTAAAAGCTAAATATCCTAAATGACATGTGAGGCTTTACATCTAAGAAAAACCTATTTTGAGAAGTGATGCATGAAAAGGTTTTTGTAACTAACATTTAATAAGGATTATTTGAATTTAATCTCCTTTTATTACATTTTAGTCAAAGCACGTAAAGATCTTGTAAACTGACAGAAGAAACATTTCTAAGCTGAATAGTAGGAGCATGTGTGAAAAGGTTATGAGCATTCTAGGGCTTTGGTAGAGAGCTGAGCCCAGCACACAGCTGGTTTAGCTCAACTGTAGCCTCTGCTGGAGAATCCCAGTGTTGCAGCTCATCACCTGATTTTTAAATAGCTGTTAAGAATGTGAAAAGACAAAATGCACTTTTGTGAACAAGTGGTCCCACTGGAATACCAGAGTAAATTGAGAATAAAATTAATGTCTGCGTCCTTTTAATATAGGAAATATTCAATAAAATAAAAAAAAATGCCAAAAAGCACAAAAAACCCAAAAAATATGATTGTTCTTAATATCTGAAGTCATGCTGACTGTCATACTGTGTCATGCTCACAGATGTAGCCCAGGAAAGTGCGCTTCTGTGTTGAAGCATGTAATAGAAGTGAAACACTTGGTGAATTTTTATTATTTTTTTTTCTTTAATGGATGTAGATGGAAATAGCTTCTTCAAGCATCTGGAAATGCAAAAGAATCTGTAGATACTGTATGTTTGAAGTCATGATGTAGAAGCTGACCCATACTCAGAATTTCACTGCTCTTGTTCTGTGTTTCTGCTGTTCTATGGATGAGAGAATAATTGATTGCTTCAGGACCCTGGGATCTTCTGACAAAAAGCACACTTGGCTGAGTACTGTGGAAGCTGTGATTACTCTTGAGATTTCAAGAGCAGGCAGAGGTTTTCTCTAGACTCCTATATTCTTTCCACCAGACTACTTAAAACAGTGTTGAAAAATTTTGAAAATTTAAAATATCCTTAGGATGTTCTAACTACTATGCTTGTGTTGTCAGACCTTTTGAATGTCTTCCAGTTTATGCCCGTGCTTGGAGGGAGATACCTGGGAGACTGAGATTCTTACAGCCACTATGGAGAATTGTTTCGACTTCTGCAACAAGCGGCACAGTTGCCTGAACCCACACAACATGAACTCTGTCTGTCCAGACCCGAGCGAAAGGTACCACAACTGCCACACAGTCTCTGGCTAAGCAGACCCAAGTGCCAAGTACTATGGTTATTCAGACTCTGTTGATAGGTGATGCAGCTACGTCAGTAAAGCAATCAGTGCTAGCATCAGTCATCTGTGCAAAGAAGGTGGAGAAAACAGCACATGCTCCTGAACCTGCTCCAGCTCCAGCACTAAGAGGTGAAGATAAACAACCAACTACTCCTGCTGCAAGGGATGACAATGAGAAACTTCTGTGAGGAAGTTGCAGGAGGACACACACACAACTCCACTAGTGTGGGGATTGTCAACATTCAAGAAGGGCCATCACAAGCAAGCCATGGTTTGGTCCATTGCTGAAGTATGTTGTGGCAAAGTCTTGCATTACTGGACCACATACTATCTTTGCACACGGGCCTTATGTAATTTGTAAAGCTGGACATGCATGATCTGTTTTATTTCATTTACTGCCAAGTATTCAATCTCTGTACTGACTATAAATGTTAGTTTTGTTAATAAACTTTTCTTTCCAGCTGTGTATTCTTTAATCCCCTTAATAACATCCTTGTCTTCTGCATTTAATAATCTCCTTCTGAATGGCCTGTCTGACATGATACGCGAATACTGGATGGAAGACAGAGATGGCTGTCAGTCCCATGGGAGAGCAGTGCCAACATAACATACAGAGTCATTTTGTTTTGGCAGCTTCTAGCCTTGCTCACCTCTCGCATTCTTTCCCATACTGTTGACAAGAGTCTCAGTCACTATACAACTCTACTTCATTTTGATAATACTTATCCACATATTTTCTTATGCATTGCCTTGTCTTCAGTCTTCCTATCTCTCAGTGCTCCTGTTCCTTTTACCTACAGCCTGCCCTGCCTTCAAGTTCACCGTGTCCCCAGGTCACACTCTGCAGTTGCATTCTCCCTTTCTGGTACCTGTGCCTTGAGAGCTGCAGTCCCTGCTGGGCAGCAGAGAGCCGGGTAGGGGACTAGTGAAGGACAGCTAAGATCCAGCACACTGTGGCCGCTTGCCACCACCAGCCGATGGCAGTGTCCACTCCCATGGGGCCCTCTAGGACCTACGTGCCTAAGCCTTTCCTCTTTTTCCACCAGATCTATGGCTATGACACCTAGACCAATGACAGTTTGGTCAAGTATTCCCCTAAGCCAGAGAGTCTTGAACTACAGCGGACTCCAAGCAGCTAAAATGCTCCTCAGTTTCTCATTGCTAGGGCACAGGGAAATGACCTTCTGAATTTCCCTGCTTAGTGGAAACTTTTTTGTCCATATCATCACAATGGAGGCTGGTAGAATTACCCTAGCTTGGCAAACACTAAATAATCGTTAGGCAGTAGTGAATATAGAGAAAGGGTATCTGCAGCAGGGATTTCACTTCTATTTCACTTAGACAAAACTGTCAGTAACTTAGGTTTTGAACCTAAATTCATTTAAGCAGTAAAAAAAATCTTCCAAGGCAAGGTTGATAATAGTAGATTGAAATTGTTTCCATTCAAAAGCATCATTAATCCTACTACTGATGAGGTGGAATATCAGTGCATACTGCACTGATAATAGTGCCATCAAACAAAACAGCTTGCTTTTTAAGAAGCAGAGCAACCTTCAATACTTTGAGTTATAGGAATAACAATGTATTATGTCTTTCTATACCCAGTCAGGATGAAAGCCTACCTCAGATTGTGCAGGTTGACCAATTTCAGTAGGAAGGCCAAAGAGTGCTGGTGACTGGCGATTTGACTGCCTCACACAGTTGAGACTGGTCTGCATGTGTTTATGAGGCCCAAAGTTGCATTGAGCTTGTCTTCTGCCTGCCATATTTCTATGTACACCTCAGTGCAGTACCTAAGTGACTTCCGTATTTCTACAGTGCTCAAGGCTGTGACTCCCACATTTTCTGTTAGCGTGAAATTCACACAGAAATGCTTTTTGTTTTGTGTTCTGTTTCTGGAACACCACGCATCCTGATATTCTGTAAGATGAAATACAAGTATTCACCACAAAGGCCTGCAGCATCTAAAAACTCTTTCTGGGTCATGTTGCACAACTGTAAGCCATTGATATTGAAGTGGGAAAGGAAATGCAGTTGGCATCTAGTTTGTACTGGTCACAGCAAAACTGCAACCATTCAGAGACTTTCTCCAGTATTCTGAGTGAGTGAATGGATGTCCAGAAAGAATAAGAATCTACAACATATTTGACAAGAGAAACATTGCAATGCAAAACTCATGGTGCACATAATTTTAATAAGCATAATTCAAACAAAACTAATCCCTTGCCCTTCTTCTGTTATGACTACAGTCTTCCTTCATTATTCCTCTAGAATACATCAAGCCCTGTCTTTTCCATTTTTCTATCTCCTATTGTCACAGCCTTTTGTATTTCATATATTCATCTTAATTATGTCGGACATTTCAAGACAAAGTGCTTATGAGCTTTGTGGAAAAAAAAGAACATGTGCCTCAAAGCGGCAATTTAAAAAAAATTTAAAAAGTCATTGTACAGAATTTGTGAGTACTTAGCAATCTCCAATAAAAAGGAGTGGTGTCTTCCTAGACTGAAATAACCTCGGGTCTTAGATGTACCTAGATGTACTTAGATTACTCTCATTCAAAGACTTGTAGCTACACTCTGCGACAGATGGGTAAATACCGTCAATTTATTATTATTTTTCTTAAAATTCCAGCAAGTTCTTTCACTCCTTTAATCTAAAATAATGTTGCTAATATCACTGTAAGTAACAGTTTTTGTTACATTAGAAACTGAAAAAAGTATTGCCCTTAACACACTTATCACTGTAGAAACATTTCTGACAGATAAAAGGAAGAGTGAAAGAGTTTCTAAGTTAACCTGCCAGGCAATTGTAACCTAAATCTACTTTGCCAACAAAATGCTCAATTTTTTAACTGCTTTCGCTCCTCAGCAGTGCAGTTACCAGGAAAATGTGTCGAAATATATATATATTTGCAGTAAATTTTATTTTTCTCCTAGAAAAACATAGTTCATCTATTATTGATGCAAAATATGGGCATGGTATGATAAACCTATGTGCTGCGGCTAACAAGCATAATGTGTCACAAACACTTTCTCTAGAATCGAAACACAGGCTCCTATTATTGAAGCTGATTTGGCTTACAGTGATGGGCACGCTCTTTAAAAAGCTCTGCTTTTTCTTTTTATGAGCTAGATTGAGACTGCTGCACACATGCAAAGATCTAATCTTGCAGTCTGCTGTTGGATGTCTGTGTGTAAGCAGCTGCCTTTTTTGTATGGAAGAATTTCACTGGAAGAATTATAGATAATGGCAAGAATATGTCCTTTCTGTGTCCATTCAGATAACGCTTAGGGAAAACAGAATTCAGGTCTGCATCTTGGAATCATTACTTTCCTTCATTCATTCCTCAATTTGCTTCTATTATTTTATGCTTTTAAAGAATGACTAGTAATTTCTCTCAGGTGAGATTCTTAAACTGTGACAGGAACCCCAGCCTTGAGAGATAATTGCTTTAGGAGCTTTAAAATCAAAACAAAAGTATATTTTAATATATTATCTTTAATATTTATTATATCACTGGAGTGGCACAGTTACAGAACAGCAAATAGCGATAGAAAGGCAATCAAACATGAATGACAGCAATGTAAAAATATCAGAAAAAGTTTAGTTCGTTTTCACATCTCACAGCATCTTACTCTTGACATATTTCACAGTTTCATAGCCCAGTCATCCATTATTTATTAATTTTCAAATGAATCTTGAACATTTGATTTTAGGCATTGCTTATATGAAAATGTAATTCAAAATAGGTTATGATGGCACTACGAGCCAAATGAATTGTATCAGTTGTTTATCGAGACAGCCAGTTCAGAGTGCAAAATGATGCAAATAGGCTGGATGAGTTTCCATAGCAAAATTATTTCAAAGAGTTTGAAATTGTAACAGAATAACTGAAATATGGATCTTGCATCCTACATGGCTTCTGCAAAGTAATTAATACTTCTAATTATAAATCCTAAAAGTTTGCAGAGGAATTTGTGGTTGCTTTCATGCATCATTCCCTTGCTATAAATTTCTTCGTAAGTATGCACATACAGAATTAATGTAATACTAAATGCAGTGTTTTAAACCCTGAGATGCTACTGTGATATCCTAGCAAAGCCAAGAGGTGGGCAGAAGCTGTGGGTCTGACTTTTCGGACCCATCCCTTGAGGATATTTGAATCTCAGATTTTATTCAGCTCTTTATTTTAAAGGAAAATCAGATGAACTTGACATTGGATTGACTTTATGAACCCTGCAAACTGCACACACCTGGATACCTCAGAGTCTGCAGGCTTCCTTGGGGGAGGATGGAAATGCTGGGAGCACCAGGCTCACAAGGCTTCTGCCAGGCGAAAAAAAAAACAACTTTACGTTTAGGCTTGAGCTGTAAAGGAATCTCAACTTCAGAAGCTGCTTAAGAAAAGCAGAAGGCTGAATAGATCCCTTTCTGGACCAGGCATGCTTTTTTTTAATCCTCTGCTAACAGGCTCCAGCCCCTCTTAAGAAAACTGGACCACCACCACATCCCCAGCTATACAGAATTACTTGCAGAGGGGCCTCCCTGTGGGGCCGGGTGTGAATCCATTCCTGTGTTTCATGGGTCGCTCTGTGAGCTCCTGCAGCAAGGCAGACCAGATCCTTTCACTTTGTCTGCCAAGTGACAAGGTCACAGCTTTGTTTTTCCATCTACAACTCTTTTTTTTTTTCTATTTTAAGGCAACATGAAAGAAAAGTAGAACTATTTATTCTGCCATTTCACAGCTATTGTGAATAGCCCTGAAATAATTTGACCATTGGTCATGAAACTTTGATTGATTGTGATAAATATCAGCTTTGCTGGCAGTATTTATACTGCCATATAAATGGCATAGCATATTTCTATCATGGAACAGCATTCATCTAGTCTAGTTTCCTTGTTAACTTTGGCTTTGAAAAGGCTCGGATTTTTTATTTTTTATTTCTTTTTAATATTCCAGGGTCCCCTGAAGCTCCGATCTTTCAACCAATCACCCCAGTGCCCTGAAATTCCTTTTCATCACCTTTGGCCTTCTCTCTGCAACTTCATCACTACCAACCTGTATAACCAATAGCAGACAAAAATCAGAGGGCTGCACCAGACCAGAGAGTTTCCTAGTAACATCTCCAGCCCAGGTCCCAGGGAGGCAGCAGACTTCCCTGTGGGATGGGTCTGGTCAGCATATTGGGCCCTCCTCTGTTCCCCTCAGAACAGAATTACTTACAACAATTACCCTTCATTTTTTCTTAACAGTCATAATGCCCGGGGCTGACTGCTTCACCCTAGGCAACCCCCTGGATGGACCTTCATCTACATCCTTATTTGTCTGCCCTTCAAGTTCTAGAGCCACATATCTATTGTGTAAGGGCAACTGGGAAGGTGAGGGACCTGCTGGACCTGTTCCCATTCCCTCCTCCTTCCCCTGTCTCTTAAGTCCACTCCTTCTGCCTTGTGCCTCTGTTTCTTCTGGAGCCTCCATCTGCTGCCCTTTGCCTCAGGGTTGGTTGGATGTGGCTCCACAAATCTATCTCTGTCTCACACTCCCTGATATTCCTTAACCTTTCCACTTTCTCTTCCAGCAATGCCACCGGGCTGAGCAGATCATTCACCTGGTCACACCACACACAGGTGTTGTCTCCGCTACCCTCCCTTACGAGCAACAGGCTCAGGCAATTTTTGCAGCTGGAGACCCGGACAGCGGTGTGTTTGTAGGAGAAGTCTGTCTTGGTCGCCACACTCCCTGGGGGCTGCTTTTGTAGCCACACTCCCTGGGGGTTCGGCTTCTGTCACCTTGTCGCCGTCCACAGCGCGTCACAGCTGATGCTCCTCAGGCGCGCACCCTTCC